CCTTCCCATGACAATGGAGAAAAAGAAAACATAAGAAATATTGACAAATTACAGGATCTAGTAACTTGCCCTTTAAAAGAATCATATTACTCAGAGGTACTCTGTACCTGTAGTCATTAGAGACAATAACTTTAGCAATTGATTTCTCAACTGTGGCTCAAACTATTATCATTACTTTTAAAACCCAGTGTACTGCATGAATACCAAATGTATTTATTGGAGTTACTTGATGTCTCCCATTAATTGTGAAGAGAGCCTGAATTCACTGCCTTTGTCATAAATAAAGCCATTTATTTCACTGGAAATATCTGGCTTTTCATTCAATATGAAGCACTTAGATGCAACCTCATGTGACCTTAAAGTCACTGCACTTTACCTCTCAGCATCATTAAAATAAGAAATAAGGTACTTATCTCTGCTTAAAAATGCAAAGGAAAATGATTCAGCTACAATATTGTTTCCTTTGTAGAAATGATTTTGGGTGAAAGATCTTTTTTAGGAATGTCAAAATGCAAAACAATACTGCACTGAAACAGTAACAAGTTCCTTTACTTCTTTAAAAAGCCAAATTGCATGAATTCTCATTCTTCCTTTCCCTCCCCTCACTTCTTTGCACTTAAAAAACATCATTAGCAAACCCAGTAACAGACTAAAGGGTGCAACCAGCCTATAAAGCTCAGATGGGGTGAAAAATTGAATGCTGAAACTTTGCAAACAAGTTGCTCTGAGTCAATTTTCCTGCAGCTGAATCTATGCTCTTGTCTGTTCCCATTTCCCACAGGTACCTATGGAATTGGCAAAGTGAAGTTTCTCCTAAATAACTTGCTGGTATTCAGCATGTTGCTTTATTTCCTCTCCTATAACTGAGTTGTGCTGGTTTGACATTTTGATTCAGCACTGTAAAAAGAGCAGACTCAATTTACTGAAATTTCTGTCATTGATGCATTTAGGAAAAAAAATACTGATTCAATTTTGCAGCACATCCATTAAGGGAAATGTATTTACCTTACTTTTGTTTGCAGAACCAAGTAGTCATTCGTCAGGAATAAGAGGAACATCTCACTGCTCCCTGGAATAAGTCATAGCTTTGGACAGGGATGGTTCTGACCCGAGGCCTGGTTTCCACAAAGTTTTTCTGGTTTCCCAGATGGAGTCGTGTCCCATGGCTATCTGAAGGCCACCTGCAGAGCCATTTTGGTACTCTCTTGGCTCTGAGTACATGAACATCTGAAGGGTTTCACACTGTGTGAAAGAAGAGGGAGAACAAAGAGGTAAATAATGTCAAAGGACCATGTTATTGCAGGGTGTTACCACTGGAAACCAGATTACCATAGTAAACATGGGAATTAACAACACATAATGTTCTTCAGCCAGCTGTCTACCCTCCCCTACTGTTTCCCTCTAATTCTGGGGACAATTTTGCACACGCTTTTAGAAGTGATACCAATTTTGCCTGAATGAGGGCTCAGGATGCTCATGGCTGTCCAATCAACAACCCCCTAACCCTGTGCACAAGTCCACCCACAGCCTGAAGAACCCATTTTCTCCCAAAACCTCTAGGTGACACTGCCTGACCCGGCTGTTGTAACACTCAGCACAGTTGATGGAGCAGAGGAAAAACATTATGGTCCTTAATACCCTACTGCTACCAGCTTCTCTTTAACAGGGAGGAAGGAGAAGCTGCGTTTTGTAGGAAACTTCAGCTGGTGTATCCTGAAACATCATCTGCAAAAATGGGGCTTATATGCAGCTCTTTGTACTTACGCTGTTTCCACTGATCAATTTCAACACTGTGCTGCTGTTGCCATCAAAATGTACTCTTCTGTACATAAAGAAAGGCTTTTCAGGCTCTTCAAGTTTTTTAATGCTTTGTGTTGCTGTTGCCATCAAAGTGTTCTCTTCTGCATATAAAGCGAAGATCTTCAACAGTTTTTCTAAAGGATGCAGATTGAAAAAAGCAGAGGAATAATGGAGAAGCCGAAAAAGATGTTTCTGAATAGCAAGTGTATAACATACCTAAAATTGAAATTTTATTACATTGGACTTCTGGATTCAGAAATACTTGGATGGATTCTTCCCATACAAAGGCACCTTATACAGATGTGCTCTACAGACACACACACACACATATATATATATAAATTAGTTATCTCTACCTCTAGACCACACTCTCATGGTCACTAAGGAACAACAGAATGACAGAAAAGGGAAGCTAAGTGCAATAATCCTGTTGACCACCTGCTTCCACTGATCAACTCCGGAAGTAAATGGTGGCGGGAACTCAGACACATCCTGGTGTTGGTGGTTCCTCAGATCAGGTTATCAATTGTTTCAGTTTCTCAGCGTAGCAGAGATCTCTTTGTTTGAACCAGAAATAGCTTCATATGGCTGGGAACTGACTCTCCTGAAACTTGTCCATTGCAGAATTACCTCGTCCTCTGCTTTTAATGCAATATATTAATGGATCTTTATCCAACTATTTAGTATCTGTTAAAATATAAAGTCTACATATGTTTTTTCCTAACTTTCTAAGCTTCTAAACAAATAGCTGAGAAAAGAACAAGCAGCTCTTCCACAGACACCCATAAATTGACTACAACTCTGACCATCTCCTGTAATAACTTCCAAAGCTATTCAACAAAGTTTTGAATTCCATACCTCAAATTAAGAGAGATGGGATTTGTGTGAGCTTCAGGTCAAGAGGTGAAAATGTGAAAGCTTCATTTGTATTCCCAGGAAGTAGCTGGATCCTTATGCTTTCCCTGCCTCATGTTCTTCAAAACTTGAAGAAAGGAACAATTGTGATGCTCTCCAGCATTTGTCAGTTAGGAAAACAATTCAAACAGACATTATTTTCATTCTGTGACACTGAGTTTTCTGTGGTCTTTCTTCCATAATTTAGAAATTGCAAAGGCCAAAGCTTTCAGGAATTATACTTAAATAACTAATTATTAAAGTCACTAAGTACTTGATTGATATTGAGGGATCATTGAGAAGGTATTTTCTGCTTAGACACAAAGTCAGTTTAAAGATTACAAGTAAATAGCTAGTTATTACTATTGAAATATCTAGGGAATGGTAGGGATGAGAAAAGTAGAACACTGTGGATTGAGCTGCCACTTCTGCCAGTGTGACTCCAAAGACAGATCCACCCACCCCGGCCCCAAATCAGGGGCTGCTGCTTGTGCTACTTTGCTGGTATCTAAAAATGCACAGAGACAAAGCACACTTTCTATACCCCATAGGTCATGAGGCCTGTTGCATACATAATGCATCTCCCATTTTTATTTTGCAGAAAAAATGCTGATAGCAACTCCTCTGAGTTCAACCAGCTTCTGTATGGCTGAGAGTAGCAGAACAGCCCTGAATTTGCTTCACTATGCTTATTTAAACAACTTAAAATGGTCCCAGGGCAAAAATTAGGGCTATGCCTAATAAGTACATTAAACCTTATTACGTCTATTAAGCACAGGGAGCCACCCTTGTTGCAACTGCACATTACATTAGAAAGCAGTTACGGACAGCATACTGACTTCCCTAATCAAACCAACGTGGGAGGTACTTTTTTGTGACATTTAGAAACCCTCAATTACAAAATACTGAGCTAAATGTGCAAAAAAACAGATTTTCCTAACAGTACCAGAAAACAAACAGGCACTGGATGGAGGCAAAGAATTGGAAGCTTATTTTGCCTTCTGGTTTTACTTTTATTCTTTTATTTTGGTATCTTAAGATACTCAAAATGAATAAAAAGCCTAATATTTGAGGGAAAAAGAATCTTGTCATTTGAGAAATAAAGCATGTAGAAATTGCCCAATGGACAAAAATCAAAGGTATCTTCATCTGCAACATACAAAACAGGATAGTATCTTCTATTATTTCATAATACCTTTCTTTAAAATGTAAAAACTACAAAAGTTCAAGTATTTATGAAGCTGAAAATACTTAATTCTTCTTTCTCATTTGCTATGTCTTTTATTGGTGGTTTAAAATTAGGCATATGCCTCTGGAATAGGTATTTCAGGGCTGGGATAGATGGCAAAAATCATAAATCTCTCTTCCTTCTGCTCTTTGACAGCCCCAATCAAGGCAGTTACTGGGCTGGAAGGTAAGGTTTATGTTTATTGTTATAAAACGATTTTCTTTGTGCATCAAATGTGGTTTTAATTTTCTAGAAGCCCCAGTTTAGTGAAATAGTACGTGCAAACAGTTATAGAAAGATCATATACCACATTCTCCATGTAGTTTGGAGGCACTGGTGTATTATTTCACACAAATAATGTGACTTCAGAGTATCTCAGACTGGAAGCACTAGAGGATTTCTGATGCAGAATACCAAATAGCTGTAAAGAAGCATTATCACATACAAGGGTGTCACTCCCAAACAGCAGATAAGGATCTGGTCTTAAAGCAGTCAAGTATAACCAGAGACAAAACTGATGTGGTAGGTATGTATTTTAAGGCTTCATCTGCAAATGGAATGGATGATCTGCCTTAACAATAAATAGCATGGTTAAATAGCTTAGAATTCTTTTGATCACTGATCTTAAAAACCCCTCACAAGATAAAAAGAAATCCTTTATCATTAATGCTCATGAGTTCAAGGCGAAGCTTGAAAGACTTGAAAGCTCAAACAGCTAAGACAATGCTGATTATTGCCAAGACTTCTGGAGAAATAAAATGTGAAGTTAGAACCCTTTGATTACCTGAAGAAATTTCAGCATTGACAAAGTAATGCTCTAAACAGGAATACTCTTGGAAAATTTTTAACACTTGCTTCAAAATCAATATTCCAACATATTTTGATGTAGAACCTGCAAAACATTTGTGGATGTTCATTTCGACTCATCTCAGTGTTTACTGTTTCCAATGAAAACAGCTACTGAAATCAAAAACTTCCCTATAAAAGTTCACTACTTTGCTGGAAAATTCTTCCATCAACATAATTTTAGGTTCCATGAGAAACTTTTAAGGAAACAAAGGTGAGGGAAAACAATACATTAAGAATACAACACAGCAAATGCCAGATTTTATTGAGGTACTGCGTTCACATCTGTTTGTGCACCGAACAATTACACTTGGCTAAAAGACAATCATATTCGTGATGCAGAGACACCACATGAAGACAGCATACAGGGAAAGCTTAAAACAAAGCTTGGTCAACATGGTGTGCCAGATTCTGTTCTGCTTGACAACTGTGTTACCTCACTGGAACTGCACAGGGTAAAGACAACATTTTACATGAAAATGACTAGCAGCAGGAGCTGGTGTGTGCAAATCAAAGTTTACTACTTCTCAGTACTGAAACCATACACAAACACATATCCTGGCACAGCTTTAGATTGGCCTCTGGTTATCAACAGTGGTTGTAACAGCCAGGAAACTCCTCTGGCAGAGTGAGTCAGGATCTTGTGGCTTACAGTCACAGTCCATCCTTGTGGCTCAGGAAATCTCTTCAAGCCACTTGGCTTTGTCAACAACTTGTTTTGGTGGGGCCTTGCGAAGGATGCAGCTCTCTATCTGCAAAATACCAGTCAGAGTTTAGAATTAGCCTGAACAGAGGAAGACCTTTTAACTTGCTGCACAGCAAAATTGTTAAGGAGATCCTGCAAACAAATCTAGACCAAACCACACAGTTCAATCTGTTTCACTGGCATCACTTCTTTCCAAGCATGTCATTACTTTATCATGCGAAAAATTGCACCTCTGAAGGGCATCACTACAACTATGAAACATTAAATGGCTCCTCTGTGGATGTACATGTACGGGTAGATCTGCTGTTGCTTCTCCTCTGTGAAAGTGAGGATTTCACCTTACATGTGAAGGCTCAAGGCACAATGGTGCTGGAACAAAACAAAAAAGAAGGCTTAGCAGATGTGTCTTTCATCTAACATTTCTATGCAGTGCTTCCTGGAATATGCATCATTAATATCTACATTATTCCACACATTTCTTCTTTTTCTTTTTATGATAGACATACAATGTGTGCCTTTAATCTTGAAGGATACCAAAACATATTCCAGACTACACCTGAAGGATTTCTATACAAAGAAATCACTCCACTGCTCATTAAAACAGGATTGCTTCTGAGGTGAAGCACAACAGCTGCTGGTACAGCTGTGTTTAGAAGCAGATTGCCTGGATATGCAAAAAAACAATGGACATGCACTGAAGTCTAGCCAGAAAATCTCAGCAAATTCAGCTACTGACAGAAGTTCTGAAGTGCGATCTTGGATTTCAAGGCAGATGGCAACTAGCAGCAAACAGCATCACAACCAGCAAAGAACATCACTTCCAATGCCGGTTCATCGAGAAGAATGATGCTTAGATAAGTTACCAGTAATACTTCTGTAGATCCTAGATTTTATTCTGCTTAAGGTGCTGGGGATAGTTATACATTTCTGACCAACCTAAATAAAAACACACAAGACATACATATAAACTTAGATTTGTACCCTCCCCCAGTATTGCCATCAGGTTGACAGGAGGCTCAGCATGAATCAGCAGCATGCCCTGGCAGCCAAGAGGGCAAACCACATCCTGGGCTGTGTTAAACACAATATCACCAGCCAGGCAAGAGCTGATCATCCTTCTGTATTTAGACTTGGTGCAGCCTCACTTGAGTACTGTGTGCAGGCCTTGCCCCCACAATTTAAGAAGGATTAAGGTAAGCGAGTGAGTCCAGAGGAGGGCAACAAAGCTGGTGAAAGGGCTGGAAGGTATGTCCTGTGAGGAGTGTCTAAGGACCTTGGTCTTGTCTAGGTTGGAGAAAAGGAGGCTGAGGGGCAACCTCATAGCTCTGTACACCTTTCTGAGGAAGTGATCTATGAGGGTGCTGAGATGCTGGCACAGGTTGCCCAGAGAAGCTGTGGCTGCCCCATCCCTAGCAGTGTTCAAGGCCAGGTTGGACAGGGATTGGAACAAGCTGCTCTAGTGGAAGGTGTCCCTGCCATAGCAGGTGCTGGAACTGGATGAGCTTTAAAGTCCCTTTCAACACAAACCATTCTGTGATTTCATGATACTATGACCTCTTCTTCTTGGTATACAATAACATCATATCAGCAGGAATGGTTCAAAGCTGCACCATGGGAGGTTTAGTCTGGACATTAGGAAGTATTTCTTTACCAAGAGGGTGGTCAAGCACTGGAACAGGCTTCTTAGAGAGGTGGTCATTGCCCCAAGCCTGTCAGTGTTTAAGAGGTATTTTAACAATGCCCTTAATACTTTGCTTTAGCTTTTGGGCAGCCCTGCAGTGATCAGGCAGTTGGACTAGATGATTGCTATAGGTCCCTTCCAACTGAAATAGTCTACTCTATCTCTGCATACAGCATTTCTGCTTAAATACCGTACCAGAAGGGATCTCAGACATTCCTGTTATGGCCATCACTTCTTCTCCAGACTAGGGCCAGTTCCACACACAGCCTGACATAGCATCCAAGACTCTCGCTACTCACAGCAGCTTGACACATATTTCCTTCCCAGACCTGGAAGTCTAGCGAAAGCCAGGGATTATTGATGTGGCTTATGGGATCCCTGGGGCTAATTCACAGCCCCACACAAAGGCTGAAGAGATCCTTCAGTCTAACCTGTTCAAGATAGCCTTGGAAGAAAGTCCCACAAGTTGCCCAGTGGGACAACTTGTGCGTTGTTGTGGTGGTCAGTACCACACATTGGTACTGACCAATGGGTGGTCCAGTACTACTACTGCCCTTATAGTTTGGAAGATTTTCTATTACTAAATCCAGATCTACTTCAAAGTGAAATTCAGCACAGTACTTACCCTGCCTGCCACAGACATGAAGGATACTCACTGTCCTGTCACTGAACACTGAACAACTGAACACTGTCACTCATCTTTTCTGCACTTAAGTCTGTCCTGCCATTCAAAAACCTAAATACTTTACCTCAGTTTTCTCTTTTCTCCAGTATATCAATACCTAAAAGCATTCCTGTTAGAGACACTGCCAGCACTAACTGGAACAAATTACTACCTTACATCCTATATACAGTTCCCCTCTTTGATACAGCAGACTAAAAGACCCCAGAACATCAATATTCTGTGTATGGCATACTGTAAACCCCAAGACAGTTTTTCCCCCCCACACACACTACTTAGTTAATCTCCCTTAGGTATAACTTGGGGATTTGATTTCTCCTTTTTAAATACAGCACTTTGCTTTTATCTTCATTGTATTTCACCTTTTTGATTTCAGACCATTTCTCCAGAGCACTGAGATAACTCTGAAAGGCAGTTCTACCCCCAAAGGCTTGCAACCCATCTCAGGGTGGTGCCATCATAAATTTTATACATATGCTCTTTAGTCCTTCAGTCAAGCTCTTACTACTCAACTGGGATGGAGTACTGAGGCATCCTTCCCTCTGAAAATGCGTTTGAGAATGAGCCACAGAAAACTTGTCTTTGACTGCCTTTTCATAAAGACCTGCAGTCTTTATGAACCACTTGTTCCCACTCCTCTGACAGGCAAAATTACCTTGACAAAGAGAGAAATTAGACTGGTTTGTCATGATTTGCCTTCATGAGATCTGTGTTAGGTTTTTCTTTATGCGTAACTCGATTGTTTAATAATTTGATATATTACCACTCCAAGTTAGAAGCGATGTCTCCAACTGCCTCCTTCCTCTATTTTCCCTTTTCAAAGATAAGAGTTGCATTTGCCCTTTTGCTGGAAAAAAAGATCGTGCAAACAGGCTTGAATTGTGTGCTGAGCTACATCAGCTGCAAGGGTGTAGGGGGTCCTCTTCCTCATTAAAACCCTGTGAATTTGGCAGAGTAAGTACGCATGCTAAATCAAATCTAATTGCCACATGGAGCTTTCTCACAGCAGTGAAAGGCTTACAGCCACTGGTGGACTTTCTGGCTTATCACTGCACTGTGGGGGTCTCCGTAACAGGTGAGGGCATGAAATCTTCAACAAGCAGACTACATGAAAAGCAGAGGATAGAAAACAGGTAGAGGTGTGGAATTTCTACCAACACTTTATGGGATAATCTGTTGAAGTTCAGAAAAGATCTTTGCCTCCCATTTCATTTTCACAGAAAGTTCCCAGCTGTTCCATTCTTGATCTGCAAGCAAAAAGGCTCACAGGCTAAGGGCATAGTTTTCCTGATTCTAGCGCGAAAAGTCTCAAGTATTTTGAGTCTTCATGACGATACCAGCTTCATTTTGCCAACAAAAAAATAATTGGATAATTCATCCACAAAAACAAGCTTCTCATTTTTTTGGTCCTTATGGATTATGCGCATTGAAACCCCTACAATGAAATCCTCTGCAACTGGCCTTGCAATTCGCTCCCTGCAAGCAATAGTGCAGGCTACACTTCAGGGCACTCCATAAACATTAGTCTCTATGACATGGTGGAAGACAGGCAAGCTGAAGCATGAGGAAATGAAAGGCTCATGGCCTTGAGAAAGCAATGTCACATTCAGACCTGAACTGAGGTCTCAGCTCAGCACCTAGCGCCTGCCTCAGATATTTGTGGATTTTCTCACCACAGACGACTTTCTGACTGCAGGATCCTTTGTAGTCTTCCTGTGGCATTTTAGTTCCACAAGCCGTTTCATTTGCAACAGCAGTAAGAAAAAAATAAGTGTGGAGATGGAAGTTTCAAAATGAGTTTTTGTTACACTGAAGTATTTGCATGAGGACAAGCAGCCCAAACCAACCTATTATACTGATAATAGTGCTTGAGAAAGACGCATTTGCACTTACAATGCACAGGGTGACTTTCTTTTTAAGGGTACAAGAGAAAAGACACGAAGCAAGGAACTCTGGCACATTTACTTTCCTGTTCATCTAACAGCTGCTGAGCAAACAAGCCCACTTATTTTTGTTTCCCCTGTGACAGACATTGCTGATGTACAGCTATTCTCACATTCTGTGGCTGTTTAGCCATGAGCTTTCACCCCCTACAGAAAGTAAAATGCACGTTTCATTCCATCTGAAATCTTTTGCATTATTCATAAATTCCTCTTAAGTCTGAAGTAGAAGTCACCCGTACTGGCATACATTTTAAATACTATTTTGCATGGTCTGTGCCATAGGCAGTTTGATCTTCAAACATGATTTCAGCACAAAAATCAAGTCAGTATATGAAACTTCACTTTTTGCAAGATAATACTCTTCAGTTCTTTATCAGACTTGACTCAGCACTTGTAGATAGCATCCCCAGGAATCAAGGGATGCTAACCTAAACAACCCACCAGACAGTTCACTGCTTTTACCCTTGGTCACACAGGAGCCTTTCTAGCAGTTCATCACTAAACAATTTGTTTTAAATGATAAGTTACGAGGGCTGCCTCCTTAATATGCTCTGGTACATCCAGGACAGCATCAGGAAAAGGCCAAAGGCAGCATAAGGGGAATGTAATCTCTTGTGCGCACAGCCACGATGGAATATTCATGTACTAGTAAATCAGTAAGAAGAGATTTCTCTGTGGAAGGACTGTGTTCAAGTCTCTGCAGAAACTCCTGTGCAAGGTCAGCATCAGGGCAATGTATAAGGACTGTATGATACAGAATCATATATAAGGACTCAACTCATAGGCAGTTTGCTAGTGCTTTTCAGAAAGCTAAAAACCCACATAAAGGTTCATGGCATTTTGAAAAATGCTTATCATATCTGCATCATCACATATAAAACAAATCAGAGGGTATACAAATACAATAGAGTAAGAGGAAAAATAAATGTTCTCACTGTACCTATTTTCATGACACCATTGGTAGAATCCATCCAGTGCCTCTGTTTCTTTTTTAACATATTGAACTCCCTCTGGTCTCACTGTCTGTAAAACAAAAGCATTTTTAATAAAACTAACAGCATTATTCTTCCTTCAGTTTTGTAGTAACATACAGATGTACCAGAGAAAACACAGTTCCTGGAATCTTCCTCTACAGTTTTTAGAGGATGGAATAAACTAGAGCTATTCTACTTTCTGTTCCTAAGCCTCTGCGAGGCTGCAATTAATAACTTGTGTTAAAAAGGAATAAACATTAAGATGAAAATTAACTTAAGGTACAGTACTGTGGTATATGAAGGACTTATAGCAGGATATCAGAGTGTCTCCTTAAAGGAAAGGCAGAAAAACTTCCTGTATTCAAGAAAATAGATCAGAAATCTCAAACATTCATCCTGCTCCAAATGTGATCAGTCACTATTGCTTTCACTGCACCTTCCACCCAATGACCCCAAAGCACTGCATGGGGGGAGGCTCACAATTTATCTTGGCATGAAAGAAGTGTAACCCTTGGTTTTAGAAAGATTAAAGGGAAAAATTGCAAATAAAGCAATTTTTAATTAGGCATTTCACCTGTTGTCCAGGAAAAGTTAAATTCTGGCATCTCCCATCTTTTCAGTGTTGGACTTTGAAGCTCAGTAGTAGTTGAGTGTTGGTTTTCAGAGCACAACTTCAAAGGTTAAAACAAGTAACAGTTCATTAATCTCCTACCAGGCCACTGACAGACATCTGCTTTCCTGCTGGTGCTGCTCTCAACCCCATTAGCCCCATCCTTCTTCCACACCTTCCCAGGTGTGCCCAGGCCCTTGAAATTTCTTCTTTATCTACTGGCTCCAAAACTTCTCCTTGCTCCACCTTCTCATCCAAGTCTCCTTATGGATCTCATCAGTTTTCTCCCCATGCCTGGCTCCCCATATTTCCCATTAGCCTCAAGTCCAGCACTGTCTGACCTCATTTTCCAGTTTCCCACTGCTTGGGCAACACAGAGATTAAAGAGAAAGAAAGAGGAGAGAGAAGCATAACTAGGCAGGGTACTTCTGTCCAAGAAAGCTTGTGGGCAAGGGATTAAAAAAAGTTCCTGTAACCAAAAGTGCTAAATAGTTGAGAATTTTAGTATTTTCACATAAAAAATAAAAAGGAACCAAGCAAATTAGGCAAAGGAATGACTTCATTTTGAGGGGTTTTGAAAGCTACATTTTATTTTGTTTGAATTGAAAAAACCTGCAGTTTGGAATTTGATAGTTTGACAGTTCAAAAACTCTAATATTTAAGCCAAGATCTTAGTTGAAACCAAGTCTTTTCAGTGAGTTAGTTCAGCTGTGATCAAAAGAAACCCAAAAAGCAAAACTATAAAATTCCTAATCAGCTATAAGAGGAAGGAAGACTGGTTTTGAGCTCTGTCTACATTTTGTATCTAAACCAGCTTACAGCATCTATGGGTATCTTTGCAGCATAAAACCTGACTCGATGAGCTGCAAAAGCCTCACTGTTACAAGAAAGTTTAGGAAATGTAAAAGCTAATGAGTCCAATTTAAACATTTCCAGATCTAATCTTTCCTAGCGATAGAACTTCGAGCTAATGCTACCCTTCCACTAAATTTGAATTCCCAGCTCCAAAATAGGAAAGTTCCTTATTTCCTAAAGGACAAGAAATAATCTTGGGGGGGGGTGGGGGGGGTGCTTGGATTTATTTTCTTCTAAAAGTTGAGCTCATTTGGCTGATTTTCCCCATATACAAGTACCTGCGGCAGATGGCTAGCAAAGAAAAAGGTGGCCTAACTAGGGAAAATTTAAGGCCAGCTGCAGAAAGACCACATAGAGGAAATTACTGATAAGCCTAGAAAGCAAAGCTATCGATGCATAATCCAAAACACAAGCACAGTGTCACTGAATTCAGACAGCAGCTCTGGTTTCAGAACCAACAGTCAGATAACTACAGAGCTAAGCAGGAGAATGTGAGAGTTCAGTGCTTTTTCATCAAAATATCCAAATGTTTTGTATATTTGAAGAGTGTCCCGTGAGGAATCATAATTAAGGAGAGAAATAGGGACAGGAAGGTCATCTGGCTATTTTTTGAGCTGAGTTTTTCCTTATGAAATGAAACCATGAACTTTTGCATACTATGATGTCACTGCTGTGTAAGAACACAGAATTAATCTCTTCTATTAAAGAAGATTTTTCCCCAGCACTTAGGAGTAATTTAAAAGGCCACAGTTCTCTTCACACTCCAACCCAAAGGTCCCTGCTGTCTGACTCTGAATGCATTAGAGAGGTCTTCTTGTGTTAAGCTTTAAAGGAAAATGTTAGTTACCATCATAAAATCTAATTTGCTATTCTCACTTCGCAGTGGTATAGGACACCTCGCCCCAAAGGTCCTCCTGGACTAATTCTGGCTGAAACACAGGGACAACTCAGAAAATGCATTTACAAACTGTTTGGGTCACCAAGGAGGGAAGTCTCTATCTACCTTTTTACCTCTGGCAGCAAAACCCATTCTAAGGGGCCAGCAGAGGTGACCACTCCTCTCCTATCAGCTGCGTGGTCCAGAGAAGCACATGTGCATCTTTTCCCAGAGCTGAGCAGCAGATATGCCTCTAGATTCTTCCTTTTCTGCTTGCTTATCTCTCCTCTCCTGCCAATTATGTCAACTTGATGCAGTCCTCCTCATCTCCCCTAGATGCTCTAGCATCGTTCACTCAGCCTTAACAAAACACTTGCAATCTTGTGACTCCCTAGTTCCCTACCTTTTAAAGCGGATAAACCTTTTGCATAAAGAGAAGCTTTTTGATTAGGAGGACAAAGTGGATGACCAAATTCCCTTTTGCCTTGGGAAAATCCATAAAGTTTGCATTCGCAGGGCTTGGATTTCTTTGGGGCTTTTGTTTACCAAGAAACACTTTTATAGGTCCCTAGCCTTCAAATGGGAGAAACAATGAAAAAATCCTTTCTCTCAGAAAGAGCTCACTGAGCAACTTTTATGACTAAAAAGCAAGTTCACTATACTAAGAAAAAGTATGCTCCAATGATTTGAATACTCCCCTTGGTCTCAAAAAGCATGGCTCAATTCTCTGTACCACAAAATTTCAGTGTCAAGCTAGTCTTGACATATCATAAGCAAAAGGACCAAGGGCTTCTGGTTAGTGATGCCTTTTGAAAATTCCACTGGACATTAATGTCTGAACTGACACACAAAGCATTAAAAATATGACACTTCCCTGCAGTTATGTCTCTGTGAGATGGGGCTAATAGCTTCTCCCTACTTCAGAAAGGTAGCTGTGAGGATAGAGTTAAAACTCAAGTACTTTGACACTTTAGAAAGGCAGACCATTATAACTCACAAGCCAAACCCTAGGTGAACCTCACACCCTAAAGCAGAGTGCAAACAATAAATAAACAATGTATAAAGGGCTGAGATGTGGCCTATAAAGGAGAGGATTTTGTTTCAATACATAAAGTATGTTGCTGCTTTTTACTGAGAAATAGTAGATCTGTTAAGAAACTAAACTGTAAAGTCCTTGAGATATGGGATCTTCTCATTTGCCTGGACACAGTCTTGCACATAAGGGATCAACTCTACACTATGCTACTAGAAATAGAAATGAGTAGAACATTAAGTAGTCTACACCAGTGACTGAGCTCATTTTTCCTGAAATTCAAGTCAGATTAAAATGCTAATATTTACTAGGGCTAACAACATGCTTGGCTAACTCAGAAACCCCATATATAATATCTGTGTTGATGCCACCAAAGACCATTTGTTCAAGACTAAATACAGGCAAATAATAGGCAATGTACTTTTTGAACTCAGAAGCTTTAACAAAGGCTGCACATCCACTCTATCGGTAGATTCATGATCAATCTTGAAGTCACTTCTGTAAAAAAGTCAGCAATTCTACTTCTATATTTAGGACATCTTGGATGAGCCCACGGAACAATGACCAACTTTGACTATTGCATGAAGGAGGAAAGGCATACAATAATCAATTTTATGTTTAATGAAATACAAAGCTCCAACAGAGCTGATGTATTATCAGTGAAATTGAATATAATAAAAAATATTGCTTTTATGAATGAGTGCTCTCTGAATGCTCCAAGGGGAAAGATGATGCACAACACCTGATGTGTGATGCAGCTTTTGTCTGAACAGCAGATTATGCTAGCCCAGAAAAAGCAGGGCTGAGCAGAGTTCACAGTTAAAATATATGGTCCTCAGGCCTAACATTTTCTGCAGCTTCTGAAAACTGTTTCAATTTTTTTAATTCATTTTTATTGCCTATATATGATTATGCTCAAATCTCAGAAGAACTGAAAGAAGAAAAAAAAGGCTGCTTTTATTGTTCCCCAGGCCTGAAAGCAGCTAACCAGTCATCCTGTAAGACACTCAGCCCCTGCATGACTACCATGCAAAAGAAAACCCAGTATGATGAAGGAAAGCACTCCGGCTTGTCAGTGAAATCCTTTAACATTTTCAAGATTTCTCAACCCTGGCAAAGTGACTGGCTTTCAATTTCTGGCAACCCACCTCATCAACAGCTAAAGCTACCAGAATTTAGATGTAAAATAACTGTCATTCAGAGCAGCCAAAGAAGCAGAATAATAAAAGTGAAAGAACACGGGATGAGAGCAAAGTCAAAACAGTGTTTAAACACAAAGCAATGCAGGCTGAATAAAGCTCAAAACAACACAGGTTTTGGAAAAAGCAAAGATCTCTCAGCTTCCTGGAGTCATAACACCTGGAATCATGAGAGACAGGATGCCTACACAAATGCTGGGTCATCAGTGGGGAAGCTTGGGATGTTGTTCACCTCATGGGAGGAAGAAAGGAATAATCTCTAATGCCCTAGCAGGATGTGGCTCTGCAGCAGGGTTCGAGTCTGTAGAGAAGGACGAAATCACTTGGCTGCAGCGGAGCACCTGCCTCCTTCCAGCTCCTTATACACCAAACATGTCTGGCATAAAAATACAAAGCATGAGAAAAACAGCACTACTGTCCTGGCAATGGATCAACAGCCGATGCCATAACAGGAAAACCTGAGGGAAGAAGTTAAACAGCAACACGTTCAAAAGCATATAACCATCTTGTAAAACGTCACTAGGCATTTTGCTCACCCCACCCAAAAGTTTATTTACATTGCTCTAGGTAGCAGGTCTGATTTCTGCTCTCTCCAGGATGGTGTGAAGTTTTCAATTTGCAGATTAGTAGCAGTTTGCTGAATGTGTGACTTCCACTTCAGCAGCTTGCTTAGCTTATACAGCTCCAAAGGAAGGCATTGCATTTCCTGATGGTCCTGCAAAACACTTTTAGACTGAAGCCTGCATTCTTTGGAGAACAAGACACAGGAAGTTTGGTATGAAGTGGACTGTGTTAACTAGAACTCGGGAGAGGACCTGCTGCTGTATAATAGGCTACAATTACAGTAACTCATTGGTCATTATTCCCCTTTTTCAACTTTCAAGGCCTAATTAAGTACAACATTCTCTTTACTTCCTACAGCTTTAGTGGATGTAGGAACCCACTTTTAAACATTCAGGAAGTCCAAGACAAAGGGTGAAGCTTTTTGCCATCAAAACTTGCAGTCAGATTCCACAAAGGCAGTGAAATATAGCAGCAGCACAGGTTTTCCCACATCAGTGCTGGCTACATGCACTGCTCCTGCTGGGGTCTGCCAATGTAGTTTGGGCACAAAGGTATGGATTACTGGGACTGAAGCAAAGAGTCTTAGATTTGGACTGGATCCTACGTCAGAAAGAAAAAAAGAATGATCTCTCCCTGTCACAAGAAAATACACTTAAAATGTCTTTTGAGATTCTTATTCCTAGAATGAAATCACTACTGTATGTTTATGTACTCCTGACAGCAACTAACTTATTAGACCTTGTTCTAATAAAGGGACTTATTTGTTGCACCCTTACTTAGTATTGCAAAGCTTTACTCTTCCCACTACTAAATAAATACACTGACCTTGTGTTGATGTTTTTTATTTGCATTTGGTATACATTGCATTCAGAAGGTAAAACAGCAGGATAGCTTGTCTACATCTTGAGGTCCCCATGAGAAATACACACTGCCAGATTCCGTTTAAACACAGAATAAGGTTTTATCTCTGCAGCAAATCATGTATGTCAATAACAACTGGTCTTACCTGCCATCTGTAAGCTTAAACCAGTATCCAGTTTGCTGCGTGGCTTCGTGCTGATAAACAAATAACAGAGAACACACACAGTGATGATAAAAGCAAAGAGGACCACTGCTGCTATCGACAGGCCCACAAGTGCTCCAACACTGAGAAGAGAGGAAAAACAAAGAAATTAAGTGCACAAACAGCCTGGGATACCCTTTAAAACAGTGGTCAGGATCATATCTGGAGGTTCCTTGTACTCAGGCAGGGGAGTGACTATGTATTTTACTATACTCAGAAGTTCAGAGCTCAATACTTAAGTTGCATAAACTGGAATTATTTCATTGCCCTTGGAAGGATCAATGCCATTACACAGCAGTTGGACATCTGGCCCTTGGTGACATTTCCTCTTATCTACGCATAGTAATCCTGAGTCTGATTTAAACTGTGTTTATGAAAACCAGAAATAACTTCATGCAGTAACTGGCATCAGTGAGATCAAGAACTTTTCCAATGCAGTGTATATTCCCAGATAAGCATGGTATTATATCACATGCACACACAAAGAGGGATTCCAGAGATCAGGCAGCCCATACAGTCTCCTTTTTCTCAAACATCATAACTATTAAAGCTATATTTTAAGTGTGAAAGGTCATTTTTATTGCCAGAAGAGCCTGTTAGAGCACTTTAAGCAAAGTGCATGTTTGTCACAGACTTCTCACCAAGGCTGACATGCCTGTAAAAAACAGAGTGAAAAGTGTGCAAGCCACATTGTTCAGTTCTGTTAGGAGCTCTGTAGAGCAGGGTGCAGTACTGTGATCACTGTTGTGCCTTCATGCTAGGCATGCAATAAGCCACCAAACAAGACTGGAGAAGTTCTTCCATGATCCTTGTCAGGGTAAAAGGAAGACTAAAGATTAATTAATTTACACAGGACCTTAATTATTCAGGAGGCCAAACATATAGCTGTATATGTAGATTTTATGAAGATACTACTTCTGCAGGATAGAAGCTACTTTATAATTTTCCATAAACATTCAGTGAGATGGTATCTCTTTAGTAGTTTCCCTATTTCCAACCCTTCTTTTCCTACTATAAAATTTTCATGATGAAATAACGAACTGACTGCAATATAGTGTAGCTATCATTTGCCAACCTCTCCTGGGCCATTTGACACCTACAGTGTTCCAGTCCTCTATTCCACAGCCTACGCCAAAGACCCTGATTTCTGGTGAAATTAAACAGGAGTCTTTTGGTCACAGATGAATAAGAATCCAAGGACTGAGAATCCTTATATTACGATTCTGGTATATTTACAGTTTTGACAGATATAAAAAGGACAGAAGAGAGATGAATGTCTTAAATTCTACAAACTCCATCCTCTAGTGATAAAAATGTCTTTATATAGAATCACTATCGGTGAGAAGTCAATTCTACTATGGCCTTATAGGGATATGAGAAGAACTGTGCCCTGGAATGTTTTCATGAATTTTACATTCAAGCTACTGCAAAGCTTCTCTCCAAGCTCCCGTAACACCAGTAGACAGACATGTCTACAGGAGAAACTCTTAAGATGAGCAGATATCAGGATGACTTTAATATACAAATCTCATCAGTTACTGGTCCAATCCATTAATGAAGTTTGTGCAACATTTAGCTCCTTGCATAACTAAAATTATTTGTTATGAGCAAAATGATTGGTTCTCGAAACAATAACTTTACCCTTACACAGATCTTCCATGGTATTTATCATCTGCATGAACTAGAGTGTTCTTATGTTTGTGTATATATGCTCATATTAAGCAAGTTTTTCCTCATTTTTTTTTGCTCAAACCAAACTTACAGGCAAGCAGTATTCTGCTCAATATGGAACTGAATATAAGCTTGCCGTCAGAGATGTCATCTAGGTTCTGGACTTACTCATGCATTTTCACTTCGAACACCTTGACCCAAATAGACAAAACCTAAGAAATACACTACAGGAGGCTGAGGTGAGCAGCCATTGAACCAAGAATTATCTCCATAGCTGAATCTATTTGAGGAAGTAATAGAAACCCAAAGGCTCTTCAGAAACAGGTACCTGTGCTTTTTTTGTCATGTCTGTACTAGCTCTATTTTAAGATTCCATTTAAATAACAGTCTGCAGTTCAGGACAAAAGAAGTTGCCCACCATTATTCAAACATTAAGCAGAGTCAGCTGTTCTAAAGCTGAATAGTTTGAGTACATATTAATGATTATATGTTTTTGTTTGGGCATCTCCTCCATGCAGTTGTAGAATACAATACAGTTCTGCACTGTATAGCACACACATCTTCCGTATTACTACGGAGCTTGTGTAAGATGCTTTGTGAGTTACAAGCGCCAAAGGTAAGAAAAGCAGTTCCTGAAGAACTCGACATTATTTCCTAGTACAGCTCAAGGACTTATGATCAGTTATATGCCACTAAGTATTTGTCATGCTTCAGCAGCAATGTGAAAAGATCACCCAAAACATGGAGATCAGCATCACAAAAACAAATACACCCCAGATTCCACTTCCTAAATCAATTGGAAATTAAGATTCAGTTTGTACTTACTGTTTTAAACATCACATTTCAACACCAGATTGTTCTCAACATGCTGAGGCCATCAACCTCTTAAAATATATTAGCAAGTCCTTTAAGGTTGATTTGGGGTTAAAGTTCGGAGGTGGAGGGCTGTTGCTTAATTTAGAGACATTTAGTATGCCTTCCACGGCTCTGAATACTCAAGTTTCTCAGTCAGAACATAACCTTTTCTTTTTTAAAAAAGTTAAAACTGGTATCAGAAGCAAAATACCAAAATAAGTATGTTCTTTGATCATTTTAATGACCAGTTTCCTCTGAAAATAAAGACAGCACTTCAGCATGTCCTCTAGATTCTACAGCAGTTACTATGGCGCTGCATATCCATCTAGGAATGTCCCTGCTGAAAATGTTTTATCATCTTCCCATCTTTACCTTAAACACTAGGTGTTTAAAGGCCACTCAGCATTCACAGGCTTCAGGGTGTGGCATTAAACAAGCAAACTAAAAAGTTACTTCTGCCCCCAGCTGTGGTCTCATTAACAAAAACTGGCATTAACAAGCTTCTCATCCACCCCCAAAATGGTGATCTAGCATAAAAACAGCAAGGGCGGGCCGGGGTAACCCTGGCAGCATTTACACAGCTTTTCAAACATGAGTGATGCTTGATAGAAGATACACAGACTGAACAGAACCCCCCCAATTAATCTTCTACAATAGTCATACCACACACTTCACTGATGTTCCTACTGCACCAAGTGCCCCAACAACACACACACACTGGCAGCACTGCCACACATCTCTGCACAGCCAGAGGCTTTACTGAGCAGAGAGGTTCCACTTCATCAGCAGACTCCCCAGGCTGCTGCCTAGAGAGATGCTGGTCATTGACATTTCTGTCAGTGGATGCTCAGCATCACACACCTACAGTTACTTTTAGTCCATAAATTAGTCTATCCATGCCAACAACAGCTAAGAAAAATTTAATATCACTAAGCAGATGCAGTATGTCCACTGATACATTGGAAGGATGCTCATAAGTCATCTGGATCCACATGAATCAGATGTTCCTAATGCCACTGTTGCAACGACATGTTGTACATGGTATTTGCAAAGCAAACAGATAAATATTCCCAGGAGACTGGAGGAATGTGCATACAGGAACAAAAGACTTGCTATTTGGGAGAGATAAAACAGACTTCTGGAGATCTGCACAGCAAAGCTAGGCTACAGCATCGAGTCACAATGGTTCTATGAGTATTCATTAGTAAAGCACTTTGAATAAAATCTGCACTCGGTCTGCTGGAGTTTTAACAGAGTATGTAATATGACATGAAACTTATAAAAAGTACAGGTTTGAAATAGATACTATAACTGTATTTGATACTGAAAGAAGCCATGAAATTTGCAAACTAAAACTTAACTGAACAGTGACAAAATGATTCTAAAATATTTCATACTAATGAGAAACAAAAAAGGTGCTGACTGAACCTAACTGCATCACAGAGCAGTACAAATACCGCATGTCCAGCATTCCTCCCCCTCCACTCAACTCTGGAGTATAAATAGATGTCATGATAACTGCATGTGCACGCTCAGCACATGGCTCTGTTCAGTGTTCTGCTCACTAGTGTTTTACAGCACCTGTGTTTTGTGGTTTCAAAAGCTACTCAACCTTCTGATTGAGCTTGATGATATTAAAGGTCTTTTCCAACCTAGCTGATTCTATGAGTCTATGAATTCTGTACACCCCTGACTTTTCCTAATGTTCCCTTCCCTGTTCCATGGGCTTTTGACTGCTATAAGAGAGAAAAAAATATTCTTCACTCTTCTTTGCTGATATCAGCTTTACAAGAAATGCAGGAAAGGAATCTTGGCAAAAAACAAAACAAACCCAAAACCTACACTGTTTAAGTATCAACAAAAAAGGCATGAGAAATTAATAGTATCACAGACAATAAATTCAGAGGATAATACGAAAGGTGTCAAAGTTGCTCAAAGGTCATTTATGATTGTCCAGCAGCTCCTAATACAGCAGGTATTAAGATGCACTTGTCAAATACTGCAGTTTTTGCAGGAGTGGAAGGGGAAAGATGATTCTGTTTTGCTAAGAAATAGTGCAGTATACAGCTCTGAACATAGTTCAGGCAGCAGTGATTTGGTGACAAAAAAAATAGCATAGGCAACTATTGCTTCAGGTTGCCTAGGCTGCTGGTTATTGCATGAACTGCTTCCGTCAGAGCTGGCTGCTAAGTGGTCTGGCAACACATCTCCCACAGCAGGAAAAACACAAGAGAAATAGGCAACAGTTTCCTCAAATCCTGCATGGTGTGTCACCAAACAGAAATAATCCCTGAGATGCCACCAACCACTTCGTGGTTCATTCGCTGCTTTCATATCAGTGGCAAGTCAAGCAAAGACAGATTTAGAATGAGAAACTTAAAGTTCTGGAGTAAAGCAGATCTTGCAACCCCATCAGAGCTTCCAGCTCCTTTCCCTTCCTCAGTACATTCAATCTCCAGACTTACCTTGGTTGGTTTGGCTAACTCTTGAATAGTTTTAAGTCTTAAGGGTTTCAAGTCTTAAAAGCATGTCCTCAAAGGCTATAAGAAGCACCTGAAGTACTACTTTAATATATTGTTGTTACGGTGGGTTTTTTATGTTTTCCTTAAACTCCTAAGGGAACTATCATGTACAAATGTATCCAGTTTCCAAAGTGCTGCAATACCATAGGGTTTCCAGTGTGTTAGCAACTAAACTTTGTGATTTGTTACTGGAAAACCCTTCTGTAATTTTGCTTAGATGTGTAAATTGTATTTATTCATCTCTTCACAGTTATGGCAGAAGTTAAGCACAACCAAAACCCTATCAATTGCAGTTTCCTCAGATCCTTTCAGTAGTTTAAGGCCATCACAGAGAGAAAAAAAAACTACAAATCCTTAAGTTTTCAAATTTATGGCCTAGGTATAGGCCAAGCAGTCACACTTCTTTGTAAAGGAAGATCCTTCAGAGATGCTTCATTAAAGCCTCTCATAGGATTCAGTTCTTTGAGGTGCCTTCTGAAAAGATGAAGTTTTAACAGTCTTCACTGCAACATCTCATCCAGATGCAAGAGCAAAATTAACTTAATCTTTCAGTAGTTCTGCCATTTTGGGAAGCTTTCCTGTGACCAAAATAGCCCAAGACTCTGCAAAAAGATCATGTAACATTAAAACAGTATGGATACTGTTTAATGAGAAAAGTATAAAAGAGGACTCTCAGGGATATCTTCTCACATCAGAGAAGCTGAGTAATTCTGTGCCAGTCACAGCTGTGGATAGCTTGGGAGATTTCCCACATTCAGCTGACTACTTTAACCAGGCTTTAAATAACTATACATTAAATAGTAGATAAGACTAATCAAATGAAAGCAAGCCTACAGTACTCAATAGCATTTACCCAAGAGCCCTGAAGAAATTCACATGTGAAAGTGAAAAACTGCTGCCCAAGGCAACCCATCATTACAGCAAGGACACTGTCAGAGGACTGGTAGCTTGGGAGCATAACTCAAACCTAAAACAGGGTTCTAGAGGGGAACCCAGGAACTACAGACTAGTAAATCTGATTTCCACCCTTGGCAAGACAGAAAGGTCTGTAAAAAAAAGGAATAATACCATTAAGCCAAGAGATAAACACAGCATCAGGGCCGTTACAACAAGGCACTGAGCACATCTGGGTTGTATCTGACCCTGACTTTTACCTCCAAGCTATGATTCCCAGGTCTGTCTCAGAATCACCCCACCTGTATACAAGAAACCAGTCCTTTGACAATGAAGCCACTACCCCCATCCATCTTATTACCACACTCTGCTCTCAGGAAGCTGCTGGCACTCACTGCTTCCTGGCAAAATCTTTCATTATAGAGTCAGTATTACTACAAGTGGAAAATGCTGCCTTGATAACCTGCTGGAGTCCACGACGTGTCAACAAGCAGATGGATAAAGGAACCCAGCAGACAGATTTTTCAAAAAGCCTTTGGAAAATCCCCACACTGAAAGTGGGTCTAAAAAGATTGAACTGATGCAGGATTAGGAAAAGGTTTTGTTACAGATTCAAGACTGCTTAAAAGTATGAAGCACACGGCTGAATTGTCTTGAACATAAAGAAAAGCTTTCAGAGATCAGTTCTGAGACTTTCTTCAGTGTCTTCCATCAATGACCTGGAGAACAATGAAACCTGAGTTTCTGATGATCCTAAGCCTCTGCAAGCAATCAAATGCTACAAGACTTACAGAAAACTGAGTGAGCAGGCAAAAGTGATGTAGATGAACTTCAGTGTCATAATGTAATGTACAACCAAACATAAACCAAGCCTACAGGACAGTGAACTTGGATCTAGCCATTCTGAACTCAGCAAAAGTTTGAGAGACATCAGTGATAGCTCACTTAAATCACACTCAATGTGCACCAGCAGGCAAAGACATGAAAGCGCTGGCCACCAACAAAAAGGATTTTGAGAGCAGGATTAAAGGCAGCATTTTGTCCCTGTAGCAAAACCTTGCTACACCCACCCCTTCAGAAGGCAGCTCCAGATTGTCCCTCTGAGAGCAGCACTGTGGAGCTCAAAACGGATGAGAGGCAACTAAAATTATCAGTGCAACATAGCACCTGCCTTAATGGTAACTCCAAAGGATTAAGATTGTTCAATTTGGAGGGATGAATGCTCCCAACTGATACCCCAAACAAAATTTTGAACGTTGTGCAGAAATAGAACATGCAGTTGCTGTTCACGAAATCTCACAATACAAATGCTAGAGGGTACTCCAGAAAAATAGTAGGAAACAGTAAAAAACAGAGTAAAGGATGTATCTTCATAAAGCAGGTAGTGAGTGCTGCCACCAGACCTGCAGAAGTAGGCAGCAGAAGCAAGTCCAGAAAGGGGTTAGACAAAATCATTAGATAAGTCCATAAAGAGACAGCGGAATCATTACGCAGAAGTGTACAAACACCCTGACATGTGGACGCTGAAGAGCCTGAGAGGAATGGGGCACAGAGAGCAGTCAGGCTGGGTGTGTGCAGCTCTGCCACTGCTGGAGATGAACTGGGATATATAGATGGACACAGAAGAGCACAAGTTTGATTACCTGCCACTTTCCAAGATGAAAGTTATGTAGCGCTTGACCTTAAACACACAGAAAAGTAGCTGAAGTCATCGGGAACTTTATTCACACAGCATCTTACACGCTCAGGCCCCGAGCCAGCAGCTCACCTCACACCGAAAAGTCGGAGGGATGCTCTGCACACGGGCACTGAGCGTTTCCTTACCAAAACCACACGTTCTTTCCGTCAGAAACCACCCTGCCACAAGCAGAACTCTTTCTCGGCAGCAGCTGCAGCTCCGCCGCTACTCTCAGCGGGACAAAGGCTACAAGTCCCTCAGAAACAAACCCTCAGGCAAGCTCGGGCAACCGCAGGTCTCCCACCCCCCGGGGCCGTCGAGCCTCCACACCACCCGCCATGAGGGACCGGGCAGCACCCTACCTGAGCCACCACATGTAGCTGTGCTCGTAGGGGAAGAAGCTGTGCGGGTCATCGCAGCAGTACTTGACGTCCTGGAAGCCGCAGCAGTACACGGCGCTGGCGTCGCCGCCCGTCCGCGGGCAGCTGAACCCGCTCACCAGCACCTTGTCGGCGTTGAGGTAGCTGCTGCACTCGGCGCTCATGGTGCAGCGGTCACCCGCCGGGCTGCCCGGCTCCTCGGCTCCGGCGGCACCCGGGCGGGAGGTGGGGCGGCGAGCGGGCGGAGCTCGGGCGGGCAGGGGGCTGCGCTGGCGGCGGGCGGGAGCCACCGCCCCCCCCCTCCCGTGAGGGGTCGCCGCAAGGCAGGAGCCGCCCGCGTCCTGAGGTGAGGAAGGGCGCGGAGCGCTTCCCGCCCTTCGGGGACGGAGGGAGAGGGGCTGAGGTCCCCCCGGGGACTCACCTCAAAGGCAGCCCGCAGCGTCTCTCCCTCGGGCTTGGTTTCCCCTCAGCGATCGGTCCCACGTTGAGGAGATAATTTAGGTGTCTGCCCTTAGCCATTAGCCTCGGTGGGGCCTCAGGACAGCCAAAGCAAGAAGGGAGTTAAGAGAGATCACACCTTGGCTTTATGAGAGGTAAAACCACCACATAACAGTCAGTGTTTCTGAGAGACCGGTATCCTACACTTAAGAGAGCATTTCCTTTTAGCAACTTTCAGTTTTAAAAGCGGGCCCCGGACAGTCATTCTGTGAATTATATGGAAGGTCCTCTCCTGAGGGAAAGGTGGGTAGACCTTAGCTCAAGATAATGCATACCTCTGTATGCAACTCAGAAAAAAGGATAATAAAAAGCTTCCAGGAGAGCAATGGGTAGACACAACCCCCTCCAAGGACCTGGCCCTCCTCTCCAGGTTACAACAGAGCCCAGCTCAAGTGCTTTGCCACACAGTGACCTGCCTCAAGGAAACGCTCGGGTTTTAGAGAGAAAGGGAAGCTGTGCAGTATCAGCAGAGCTTGACTTGAACTCATAAGGCCACATTAATTCAACCAACGCTTCACTTTTAATTTCAGGTCTTGCCTTGAGATGAACTCCAGACAAGTGGGAATTTCATGTCATTGAGCTAACTGCCAGGCAGCAGCAAGAGCCAGGAACAATGGCAGCTTAGGGAGAGGCAGTGTCCTCACCAACCAGGGTGCAGGATCTGAACACTTCTAGGCTGGTGACAGGCACCATCAACAGTCCCAGGTAAGGTGAGCTACCATATAAAGTCCAGGGTCCATCTAGGGAGACAGGACAGGAGGCACGTTACCTACAGCATAGGTCTAAAGCATATCCAGGAGGACCAGCAAGCAATCCAGGCCAGCAGGAAACAGCAGTGAACATAAGACTACCTCAGGTATACCTTAGAGAAGGCCAGGCTCTCCTGGCAGGAGCTTAAATGTGGCTCCTGGACCAATGAGCAGAGGTTGTGGGTATGATGGGGACCCAGGTGATGCTGGTCAGGGGCTGATAGTGGTCACTTAGAGCCCTGACACAGATATCTTCCAGCATGACATGTAGTCCCCCTATGTTATGGTGTTTGACTGTACTTGCTAAAAGTATAAATATTCTCCAGTTGCTTGGTTGATTTTATTCTGTGAAATCAACCTTGACTTAGCACCAATTGAAGTCAGAAATTCAGTCAGGGTCTATCTGCTGCGTTACAGATTTGCCTTCCTAATATTTAGATGCATATATGAATAGTCAGGGAAGAGTCAAATTACTCAACTGCTGGGTGCCTTAAGCTTGAGCAGTTTGAGAATTTTACCTTAGGGACCTCAAAACCAGGCTCAGTGCTTGAAGTTGCACTGTACAAAGTGAGAGGATGAATGACAGTGATGTGGCTGGAGCAGAGTCAAGTAAAGAAGACCAGGAGGAATCAATGAGTATTGGACATGAACAAGGAAAAAGGCTAGATTGCCATCAGATCTTGTGACAGTTGTAATTGCATCACTTGTGTTTTTCAGACGAAATCAGATTTAATCAGATCAATTATTTTATGGTAAAGTTGAGGATTAACTTATTTAGAATGTATGTTAGGAAAATACTCTATTAGAAAGCAGCCTTTTAACCTCAGTTATGTCAGTAGTGTCACTACGTGTTAGGATTTAATAATGACTTTTGTGATACTTGAGGTCCTTTTTAAAGATCAAGCTCCTGGTCATTTGATTCAGAGTGAGTTTTGTTTCAATACAGTAGCTTTGCCTTTCAAAGACATGGGGACTGTGTTTCTGTGGTTGAGAAAAGAGTCTCTAGTGAGGGAAGGATGGGTGAACCTCAGCTCAAAAGCCATCAGTTTGTTGGCCAGATAGTGTTTAAGCACCAGTCAGCTAACTGCAGGATTGACAGCCCCGCAGGCAGCATAGCTGTAGAGACCTTGCTCTCCAGCTAAGTTTAAGCAGAAGACATTCAAGAAAATACAAAAAAAAACAACAAACCCAAACCAAATACAGTGGTAAATGTCATGGTTTCAGAGTCTGATTCAAGACTTGGTGAGGTTAATAATACTGTGTTGAAAAGAGAGAACTCATGTAAGTCCTACAACTTCCTGGGGTGCAGGAACATCTAATTCCAGTCTAACAGGTATTTGTCTTTTGAAATGTCTTCATGCATCTTGTTCAGTTGCTAATAGCTATTTTGTTCCAAAACCTGAATTCCTGTCCTTGTTTTTCTTTGTGATTCCCCTTATTCCTCTGTTGTTTATTTTCCAACTTATCCTTTCTTTGTTTCCTGTTCATACCAGAATTCAACCACCAGGGTAAAAAGAGATTTATCAGCCAGTTGAATCCAGAAGGGTTCAAATCATCTTTTCAACTTGAGTATTCCCAAATCAAGTAGTCAAGAGATGTTTAGGAATATAGGACATTCTCAGTTGGTTTTGTATTTCATGTTATTTTACTTTTGGACATTTTTCTCTTATTTTTCAGAACCCATGTAACAATTTCTACTTGGAATTATTACAACACTGATTTGGAACAAATAAAGTTACTTATCACAGTTTAATGATCAGTCTTACACAATCTTCCACTTGTACTGACTGAGTATAAGATAGAACTCAGTTGGAGTTGAAGTAAGGGTGGTTTCTTTCTCCAAACTTAATGAAATTTGTCTCCAAAGAAGGCTGAAATGTTATGAAGTGCCAAAATCTTTTTATATCAATTAGTATACTCATTTATACAATGCAATTAATTTGTACTTGCCATGATTCTTGGGTGAGAATAATTGACATGCTCTGTTCTTCAATTATTTGGAATTATTTATATAAAGCATTAGAAATGAACTTTGAGTTACCTGCCTCAGTGACTGAATTAACTATGTAATGGCTGGAAGATTGAAATAAAAGTAGTTTCTCTTTTGATGAGATGTTAAGGACTTGAAGTGAGAGTGGGAGGCTCTTCACTGACCATGGGCATCATCTTTTATGTCAGAAGAAAACCACATCACCTTGTTTTCCCATTCCAATTGCAAAACACAGACCTCTTCCAGTAAGGACTAGTGGTTTGGACTCCGTAACACATCTCGACCTTTCTTTTTGTCCACTATTGCTAATATCAATTTAAGTTACTACACAGATGCCTGCAACAGTTCTCTCTGCTGCAGAGTATGTTTCAACTTAACAACGAGGTCCTTCAGCTTTCAGAAAAACAAACACAGATCAAAGACCTTTGTAGGACACACTTCAATAGCAGACAAATTATCTAGGTAATTCAGGAGCAGCTTTCAGAACTGTATCCAAAACAGGATACTTCTATTCTCTGAGTGCCAAACTATAATCCTTGTAAATATGAGTCTTTTCTGCAGTGAAGCTCTAGCTCTACCAAGCCTGATAAAACCTGCCAACTTTGGCAGATGCTTGCAACCCAGACTCTTCTGCAAATCTTTAACTGACTTACTGGTGATGATACTGACTTCCAAGAGATTGTTTTGGCTGTACTTAAATCCCGTTTTCACAATACTTGGTGCCATGGAACTGTCTCTTTGGCTTTCTATTTCTTACAACTGTTTACAAGCCTTCCCAGTGAAGTCATAAACATAAATATATGTATAATTATAACAGTAGCAATTCATGTAATTGTTAAGAATAATTGCAATCTTTATCTAAACTACTATTAATGTGAAAAGTATGCAGCCTCTTATTTAATTATCCTAACTCCACAATTTACTGGCCACCAGAACTGGGATGGTTTAATTTTCCAGCAAATAGAAAGAGTTCCTCTGACTGAACACAGCTTAGAGCAAAAGGGACCTGGAGAAGAAGCTAAACCATCTGATTTAGCTGTTCCATTTACAGTGAAGTTAATTGTACCTCTGCAGTGACCACTACTTAAATGCTGAGAACAAGCATTCATACTAACATTCTTGGGACACACGTCTACCAGCCAAGCTTCTAAGAAACAGATTAATTATGAACTACTGATAGAGCTGTTTGGATCTGCAGCAATCCTCACCCTCAGACCTACATGGAATGTTTTTCTTTAGGCACATAATCCAATTATTAATAGGCAAAGAGCTGCATAAATTACCTTCAGAAGTAATCTGGTGGCAAATTATGCAATTAAACCAAACTGTCATGCCAAGATGGTGTAACTAGCCCTGATGAGGAGTAACAGCTCAAACTGACATCAGGGTTAGTGTAGACAACATGTTTTATCACACGTAAGTAGTAGGCAGATGACAGCGTAAGGTTTAAAACTGAAAGGGGAACAGAAGTTTAAGGGGTGCATGTTTGCAGTACAGTGAGATGCTGTCACTCAGAGGACTAAAAGAGAAGGACTGATGCTAGGTGCATTCTAAAGAGGAGGATCTGGTTTGACACTGCCTTATTTGACTCTTGTGCATTGGTGAAGGACGGAAATCTGACAAGAGAGTATGATACATCTTGGGTTCTGCTCTCAATTCAGATGATGCACACTGTAAGCAAATTGCTTTCCCAGTGTGTGCTTCAGTTTAACTCTGTAAATTTGGGAGAATGGTGGAGCTGTCTGACACTTGTTTGCTAAAAAGTTGGTGTTTTGAGGTCTTCTCTGTGAAAGTGAACACATGTAGAAAGCATCGTTATGATTTTTTCATGTCACTCTAGAGCCTACTAATTTTTCTAGTAATTTTAACTGTCTTTTATACACATTATTCTTTAATTGATTCCCCCACTCAATGTATAGTATAGATTTTGCCTTTATACTGTCTCTACTTTACAGAGCTAAATAATGAGGAGGGAGAAAGTAATTTGGAGTATCAGGAACTAAAAAGAGGTTTCAGTCAAAATTTAAAGGAAGAGGGTGAACCAGTGAAACAGAGTGAAGGAGCAAAATCTATTTTCAGTGTTGACACTGGTAATTTTGAGGTGAGGATGGAGTTCTGATAAATAGTTTGTGTTTGTATGTGTAATGAC